GTGTGTGTGTGTGTGTGTGTGTGTGTGTGTGTGTGTGTGTGTGTGTGTGTAAAAAAAATCACCTCTACAGTGATTTTCAATACAGACATATCGCTATTTAAGCACTTTCAGAGGTAGCAGCCAGCTCTTAAATTGTAACGTACGGTCTTTAACAAAGTGGTATGAAAGCTTTGGAACTGATGTGGGTTGGGCAGATCAAGTGAGAAAAGACTGTCACACAAGAGCTAAAACCTGCCCATGGGACTGGACAAGCCAACTCCAATAGATCTTCAAGGCTCCCGGACAATTAGAATGGGTCCACAGTGGAGCTGCACTCAGCATCCCTGTTTAACTGGCATCTGCATCACTCAGATCTTAGGGCTCCTCTCCGAACACCAGTACAAATAGGCACGACAAGGGGTGAAGAGTGTGTTGCCTTCAGTATTCCAGTGACTGCTTAAAGCACGTCAGGTGTGTGACGGGATCCCCCCGCAGTGCAGCCTGGGACTGTGGGACCGCTCTGCCCCCTTAAATCTCCAGCCTGGGCTGTCCCTCACAATGCCTTGCTCGTGACAAGCAGCAAACCCCGCCAGGTGCTGTGATCACTCAGCACAACTACATGTGGAGCCCCACACCCAGCTAGATTGCATGAATGCTCCCATAGGCATACTCCCACTCATGAATCACACAGAGAAAGGCATCAGCCACCCAGCTCCCAGTACTTACCTCAGGAATATGCTGTCTAATTTAGTAACTGGTTCACCACTTCAACAATGGAACGTGGACATACACCAGCCTTTGTCAAATCGGAGCAGATTTGCCCCCACACTTCATACCAACTCACTGGTAAAGATAAACAGTTAAACAAATTTATTGACTATAAAAGATAGATTTTAAGTGATAGGCAAAAAGTCAGCGTTACCAAAATAAAATATAAGCACGCAGTCTAAACTCTCAACCCTATTAGACTGGGCAGCAACTAGATGAAGCAGTTTTTCTCACCCCACTGGATATTGCAGTCCTTAATATACAGGTTTGTTCCTTAAACCTGGGCCAATCTCCTCCGTTGGAGTCTTGTCTTCTTCTCAGTGTCCTGGTTGCTTGCAGCATAGGTGGCGGCAGGAGAAGGGCCCAGTATGTGTCCACTCCGACTGTTTTATACCCTCAGTCCATGTGCTTGTAGAACACAAGTCCAGGCATGTCTGGGGGCATTGCTGAATCTCTCCAAACAAGGTCCAGCAATTCCCCTGGGGTGGCTTCATGCAGATGAGTCATTGCATTGTAGCTCCCTTGCTGGGCTATGGTTGTTGATGGGTTGATTGATACCTCACCTGGGCATTGGTTAGTTTCCTTGCTATTGCCTTTGTGGAGCTAATGTCTGGCTGATTCCCCAACTTACAGCATGTTTAGGGACCACCATCCAACACAATTCTCATAACTTCATATGCATTAATGATACACATATACGGATAGAGAAATGACTTTCAGCAGATCATAACCTTTCCCCTGATAGCTTACAAGGCATGCTTTATATATAAGATCACGATTATATAAAAATGAGGAATATGGGTGTTCCAGGACGCACCCCCAGGGTGTTCACATACACCCTGACTCTTCCCCCACCAGCACTCAGTTAATAAAAGACACTTCTTCCAAGCCATCTCATCGTTGGAAGGGCCTCCTCCCTTCACAAAACTAGATGACCTCCCTCTTTTTTCTAACCCTTCCTTAAGGGAGGAGAGGGAAGACCACCACGTCTCCTGCCAAGCCTTTTGACATCTGCTCAGTTTCCAGTTGAACTAGGATCGAGAGTACAGTATTGTGTCTGAACTGCACCGTCTGTGTCTGGATTAGATTGCAAAGCCCCCGGGACAGGGGCCACATCTTCTAGTTTGTACAAAGCGTCACAAAGGCGGTCAGTGCTCAACAGATCATTACAAAAGCTTCAGAAGAGTTGCTTCAGCAGGTGAAGTATCAGAAGCAAACACAAAGAGTGTGAGGCTATGGGTGGGTGGAGGGGGGGAAGATTGGGAAGGAGAATTCAAAAGAAAAAGCTGTCAAAGGAGTCAAGAAGGCAGGGATGAAAAAATCTGTCCTGTTCTTTTGAATTCCACAAGGCACTAACTTCTCCATAGAGGATTCCAGACCCCAAACTGTTTCATAGCATGCACCTGCTTGCACTAAAAAAAACCCCAACATGCTAAATAATTCAGTTTTACTTGTATGCTCTTGAGCTCTGGAATTCTCCCAGCTCCTGAAGCATTTGGACGCTTGTAGTGTTTTGATGAGAGACTGGCTAAATGATTAACATTTTTCACTGGGGTGAGGGGGGAGGGAGAGAGTCAATGCATCTGGTCAATAAAATGATCTATGACAGCAGACTGGTTGGTCGTCACTGCTGTTCTCTGCCAAGCTATGTGACGGCCACATCACTGTGGTGACTGACACATGTAGGGAATGGAGATGTATCATGCGTATGATAAAAGCAGACAGGGAGGGCTCATGTGTTTTCCACTTGCCAGGCTTATCTGATCTGAGGCAGATGTGTCTCTGCTTTCAAATGCATCAAGAAACGCCCACTTTTATCTATTTTCCTCACCGGGAAATATTCCCATCAATTAAAAAAAATTCTCTTCTTTAGGCCGCATCTACTCTGTGGGGACACCAACATAGCTACACCAACATAATCCCGTGGTCTAGACTCATCCTACAGCAACAGAAGGGGTTTTTCCATCATCCTGCAAACACCACATCCAAGCAATGGTAACTACATGGACAAAAGCATTCTTCTATCAGCCTGCTTGTGCCTACACAGTGGGGATTAGGTCTGCCCAAGTACAGCACGAACGGTTGAGGATTTTTCACATTGCTGAGTGCCCCAAGTATGTCAACCTAAAAATGTAAGTGTGGACCAAGACCGTCTACTCAAAGCATCTTGCCTCCAAGGTTGCGTGCCTGGAACTTCTGCGCATTCCTTTATTACATTGTTTTAGCCCAGGGGTTCTCCATTTTCCTCTCATTGTTCTGAAAGAGAAAGACCCTCTTCTTGCTTCCTGAAAACGCTTCATTCTGCAGGCCACTCGGAAATCCAGGGGTGGATACTCTAAATTTGTTCCTCCTGAAGACTATACACTGATTCAATGGTGCCAAAGGGATGCAGATTATCACCTACCCCAACGTAGTGACCACTCTCTCTACCAAGGCTGATTCCCCTCCAAAACCGACAAAAGGATAGAGATTTTTGCTCCAGAACAGGGACAAACTGGAGAGCAGAGGGAAAAAGCATTAGTACCTTAGCACATTGAGAATTGCACTGGGTTAAATCCCTGTGAAACACCTAGGCCATGTCTATACTAGAAGCTCTTGACCAGTGTAGGAATACCAGTATACTATACTGGCAAAACGCTCCTATTGTAGACACAGCTATACTGACAAAGCTGTGGTTGGTACCAATAGAGTAAACCCATCCCCCGCTTTTCCCCATATGAGCTAAACAAGTTATATCAGTAAAAGCAGTTTTTCATTACAACTGTCTACACTAGGGACTTCTGCTTGCACAGCTATGTTGCTCAGGGATCATGCCTCTTCATGCCTCTGGCCAACACAGCTATAACAGGGAGAACGCCAAAGAGTAGATATGCTCATACTTAGCTACCAAATCTGAATCCCTCAAGTCAGAAATGCAGCTTCACCCAAACCATAAAACAACCTGGGGGCTCCCCTACAGTCAGGAGCAGTCTCTTTTAGGTGGACCTGTCTATAATATCTCGTTTACATAGATCCTCTCATAAAAAAAAAAAAAAAAAGGTCAAATCTCTGCACAAACTGCACACATTAAGGAATAAACTTTCCTATACCACTGAAATGCAGCCACCTCTGAAGCGTAACACAGAAGCTGTTTTAACAGATCACAGAAACATTACACAACATTTTAGGATCTGAAACAAAGAATACTGCATCCAACTGAAACTATAGGAAGGAAATTAGATGATTAATCACATTCTGCCTATATTGGAATTTAGCCAGGACAGCTAGGTTAATAGTATCTCTTGGGGAGAGTTTTGCTCAGATACCACAGTGATGGGCACTGCATAAATCGAGATAGAGATCTTTATCAGCAGGCAGACAGGCTCTCAGTTTTCTCTCTCATCTGATAGACAGTGAGCACAAGGTATCTAGAGGAGTCTATTCAATAAATTCCATAAAGTAATGTTGGACTGAGGGCTAAATATAGGAGTGAAGACAGCACAAAGAAAAACAGCCTGGGAGCCTATCACACCTGATACCAGCCCGAGAGTTTGCTAGTGGTTTATGAGTTTTTCAGAAAGGCTACCTGAAGAGAGAGGAAAGAAAAAAAACAGTGGCTGATATTTTCCACCTCATATCTGACTCCAGTCCACTGAGACAACGGTCTAATGCAGAGATACACCCATTGCTGTCCGACAGATTTACCGGAGGTGCAATCTCCATTGTCTCTACTACAGGAGCCTCTCTCTGAGCACTTCTTAGCAAGCCTGCACTCAGATGGAATAAATGTCGGTTTACAGGACCCAAGCAGGTCTAGCTGCTCTCCTAGTTGTTACCACAAGAAAGCATTGCTTACCTTGCATGTTCCTTTTTTTGATCTCTGTAGCCCTTGGGACGCTCTGGCAGTTTCTATTTAGAGGAAAGCTATTTCTTTCTACGTTTGGTAGCCAGCCTTCTGCTTCCAGCCTCTGTTACAAGAAGTTTTGAGCTGGGAGTGATGTCTCTGCTACACTCAGAATTACTGCTGGGGACACTGGGCTGTCTCCCTATGCCTCTATTTTAAAATTTCTATTTCATACCAGAAATAAGGCATAGAAAGAGCAGGAGGGAGGTGGCACATTACTAGTTGAAAGCCTTTGGCCCTCAGATTTGGCTAGCACAGAACTCTGTGTCACTCAATCCTACAGAAATGAACATCGCCAACTTTTGTTTTGCAATATTATCTACCCAACCATCCATTTTCAGGAACAGGTACACTTTGGGCAGTGGCAGTACAAGCTTTCCCCACATTATCTATTGCAAGGAGTGGGTAATGGTCACCATGATCCATGCAAAACTTGGCCTCTCTGCTGCGATTTCAAGGGGACCATTAAGCACCAGCTGGGGTGGCAGTTATGTGTGACCTATCAAGGACAGAGACCACCAAATTATTTCAGGTAAGCCACTGGGCAGCCAACAGGCACTAAGGCGCTGAAACAGAGAATCATATACCAGTAATATACAAATATATAATAGTACTCCTTCTACTTACCAATTCTCTGAGCTATCCTGCTCCCCTATTGCTTTCTGATCTAGCATCTGTTTCTCTTCCTCTCTTAATTTTTTTTAAACAAACACACACACACACAGCCCCTAGATCACATGGCACGAATATCTGATAACTTGTCCTGTGAGTGAACAAGTTTCTTAGATCTAAAATTTGGGAGACATCTTCTTTTTCTGTTTGCAATGAGCTGAGAGTGCTACACTGAGTAGCAGTTGCCATGGCCAACACTAGAGAAAAAACAGAGAAATGTGCCAGCCAAAACAGCTGCAGTTTTTTTAACTCTCAGAACGCTTTCATCTCCTCGACGTTACCCACTGCCATCTCCTGCTCTGCTCACATTCCAGAATACATAATTCTGCGTCATCAGAACTTCCATTCTAGCCCCCGTGGAGAACAGAGCTGGGTCTCAGGTAAGTGGCATTTATTATAGAGCATGGTTTTGCAAAATTAATACTAACCACAAAAGGTATATGGCATTTTTTCAAAAACCACATCAATATAATAAAAATGCCACTTACCTTAGCTCCAAATAGCCTGGCTCCATGCCATA